CTCACCTTCTTTACAACTGTAGGTATTTTTATAACACAGTTTAAAAGCCCTACTAATAATTTTAGAAGTCTATCCTTTTTTCAGCGTGTTTGCATTCTAAATCCATTGGAAAGCATTTCTGTAATGGCTCTGAAGGAAAAAAAAAATTCTTCAATATATCCATGGCAAGTAGTAGCAGCATTATCAACATGCTTTCTTGAATTACTGGTGAATGAATATTCTGCCACTTGCATTTTACAGCCTCTCCCATATCAAAAGCACAACTGAGGAATACACTGTCATACAACAGCAGCAAAGTGATTACCAAAGATTTTGCTAACTTCAACAGGAAAATGGCAGTAGCTGACAGAAGCCTTTGTTGATCTATTTTTAACAAAGATCAACTGCAAGCATTCAAACACTAGCTATAACACTTGATAACTTAGTGTCTTTACTGTGCAACCTTAATATTACTAGACACAGACTCTTCTGTTTGACCTGGTTTCTACTTTTGTAAAGAAATTTCCTAACATAGCCATAGCAGTTGCTCTCCATTTATAATCTTGGTAAATTTAGCACACATGAAATGCATATATTCAGTTCAACAGCCTCTTCAGATCATAGAAGTGTGCCATTTGAAAGCTGTCTAGTAAGTTCAGATTTCAAATCCTGCAAGTCAAAAATCCCAGGGCCACAGATGTCCACCGAATACAAGTCTACAACTGCCCAGGTACATATTTTGGTGCTCAAATATTTTAGCATTAATATTTCAAAAGCCAACTTTGATGATATAGATTTATGCCAGTGTTAGCCAGGCAAAACTGGTACTTTAATTGAGGTAGAGGGGTGCACATGTGAAAGCACCAGAAAAGAAAATGTGTTTTCCTGAAGCAAATTATATCAATATATGATATCTGGCACAAACCTGAAGAAAATATATAGTCTATCTTCTTGTAAAAAGATGTAAGCATATGGCTTTCCAGTTCTAGAATTCCTAGCATCCCAAATGGCTCATTGACACTTTTGCACTTTATTGCTCTTTTCCTTTCATGTTGACAACTTCAGAATAACCATAAATGAAACAAGCATTTTAATTTCCTGCACACGGAGAAGGCAGTAAACTGAGGCCCCGCTTTGTCTCACAGTACATTGGTGTAAAATGCCAATAAATAACAGAATTCAGAGTGATTTTGAGCCTCGATAAGCTGCTATTGGCATACATTGCTCACTGCTGTAGTGCCAAGACAACAGGAAAGCAAGAGGACAATAAAAAACTTGGTGTTTCCAAGATCAACAGCAGCGCATTAGGAACTAACAGTTTACTAAGTAAATAAATTACATAATTTAAAATGTTTCTGAATTAAGCATTTATTTTAACTTTAGCAAAACAAAGAAATTTATGGGTAGGCTGACAAGTTTCTGCAAGCCTATCCACAGCCTTTGTCACATTCATGCCATTTCTCAGTAGGAGCAACTAGATATGTATTCAAAAGAGGAATGTACATGGCTTGAAGTCCAAAGCAGCATGCTTCTGATAGCAGGATATTTTTTCTGGGGCAAAGAAACACTTTATTCTCTTCATCAGACAATTTAGCTGAACTATTTAAGGGCCTTTACTGCTTCTTGATCCATAAGGTCAGCTTCAGACACCTTCTGCCTGCTGGAAATAACAGAACTATATCAGATAAAGTAAATTGTGGATGGGGCAGATGCAGCTGATCTACATGAAACATCAACTGGTTACAGGCACGCTAATGTCATGAAAATGGTGTGGATTTTGACTTTTTGGCCAGTACTACAGAGAAGAGTCAGTGTGAAACAGCTGCTAGGGAGTGGAGTTCTTTAGCCCAGTCTATGTCATCATGTCAGGTACTTATATGTGTATCTAAACACAGAGATGCCTTGTAAATTCCTAGCTATGTGTAGAAAGCAAAAATCACAGAACACTAGTTCAGAGAATCCACACAAAAGAATGCCCATACAAGTATCAAAACTTACAGGAAAGTTCACTGAGAAAAACTTCAAAGGCAACATACAAGCTAATAGAAAAAGCACATTTCATCACGTGAAGTACTGCACAGGATTCATATTCCAAATTCCTCAGTAAGTTCTACACTCAGGCACAAAGCTGTGGGATGAAACCTTTTCAACACACACATATTGCATTCATGTAATTATATTGCTAAACGTACATAGCTTATTGGGAGATTTTTTTGAAAGCTATTCCAATATAATTCCCAATAGGGATGTAATTATATATCAGTATAGAAGTGCTTTATACTAGCTTAATGCCTTTCTCTAAGGAAATGGTTTTTTTCTTTTTATCAGTGCATACAACTTTACATTGATTGGTTTGTAGATTTAAAGAAACACAAATTCATTACAAAAACCCTATGCTGCTAGTTAAACAAAGCTAAAAAACCCAAAGCACTGAACTATTTAAGCTATTTCGCCTGAATACTGGTAAGGAAAAAATCATTATTTTTATTTTTAAACACTTGGAAAGTGAAGGCCTATGAAAATATATACACAAATCATGAGTCTGCTGAAATCAGGAAAAATATGAGCAACAAGAAAAAAGAGGACCTAGTGAAGGAAAAAAGAATCAGGAAGAGAGTGTATTCTGTCCATGGAAAATATTTTGACAAATGTAGCTCTTCTCAAATTACGTAATATTTCCTCAGCCATTCATCTGAGTTGCCACTGGAAACAGGGATCATCTTGGTCAATACAGACTATAAATATTTTATGAGACATTAGTAAAATTGGTATGATCATATTTCCTAGTAATGAGTGCTAACACCATTACAAAAAACCAATTATTCTAATTAAATACAGCAGTAATCAATACCCTGTGCTCTGGGTGAGTTTGCTTCAGTAAATACAGAGATGCATATTCTTCAGATTAAAATGTTTAAAAGAAAAAATGTAGTATTTTAATAAACTGGACTACAGTTTTCTTCAGAGGCCATAAGCTGCTACATAAAGCATGAATCTTAACCCTCCCCATGAAATTAACTATCATTTCAGGTGAAGAGCTCCACCAGTTGTCCTTGGCACAGCTTCAAGGCAACTTAAGCTTTCCTTCTGTAAGTATCTGATGATGGAAGGAAGCATTCTGTAGGTTGTTCCCTTATACCTACTCCTGCAGCTGCTACCTCAGCAGACATTACACCTTCAGCCTTTTCACTTGTTCCAGATACTTGTATTTTTCTTTTATAGCTAACTTTGGAGGTAATAATTATACTAGAAATTAATTCCACCTAATGCCCAGTATTTTCCTGAGATACTTGCTTTCAAAATGAATTATTGTCAGTCATTTCTCAGCTTTCACATCCATATGTTAAGTTGGAAGGAAGAGGTAAGCTGCAGATTCATTGCTTAGTCTTTAAGTTGTGGATATTCAATGACACCATCTTGCTTAAACTCGTGCCAGTGTGAGAAAAATGGCCTCACTTAAATAATTTAAATGGCATTCATTAAAAAGAAAAAATTGCTGAATCAAGGGCTGTGAGGTACCTTGTCAGCATTTCCAAAGATGAGATGGTTTTTAGGAATAAAGAATAACTTCATAGTAAGTGTAGCTATTCTCTTTAACTTGTCACATTGTAGCTTAGCCCATGGCCCAAACGCACCTTTAGGACTGCCCTCATAGCTCCCACCTGACTGACACAACTATGTTTGAGGAAGGATATTAAGATTTTGGGATAGACAGGGCAGTGCTGATGTACTTTAAGGGTAAAAGGAACTGCCTCAGCTTTACAGTACAGAGTGGAAAGTATTAGCAGTAAATGTGAAAAGAATCAGCTACCCACTAGTTAAAAATAATAATCCTGTCTATCCTGAATTGAGAAATGACTTACATATACAAGGCCAGTTAAATATTAACTGCCTTTTAATCTAAAAAAAAGAGAGGATCCCTTTGGCAAAGACAGCATAAAAGGAAAGCAAGTGCAACACTGCATATAGCCAAAACATGCTGTTGTAGTTTTGGTGGGGCAGTTTTAACAGCATTTGCATCATTCCGGAAGTCACGGACAAATGCCAGAAAGGAAAATGTCTGACCTAACATAATCAGATGGTCAGCACTCTAAGGCCTGAAGTTTGCTACAAATTAAGGAATCCTTCACTGCCTGGTTTAGCAACTGTTGCACCTATGTCACTGGCCTAAATTTAAGGGAAGTCTACTTCAGGTAATTTCATCCCACCTATTTCCAAAGCCTTCAGGTATTCTTGAAGGCTTAGTTTACCAGCTATATCTTACAGACATGTGTCTGATGACAGTGACAATTTCAACAGGGGTCCACAAGAATGGTGCAGTGCATCCAGGCAGAAAAATTTTCAGGATCAAACCTTCACTCTGGATTTGCGTGTCAGTATTAGTAAGGCTGACTTTCCAAAGAATTTGAATGAGTCGTCTCAAGCAACATGACATGATGATGTAATATTCTGCTTTGGTGTTCTATTTTTGGATCTATAGCAGGGCAATAAACATGGAAACTTCTTAAAATTTGGAAAAATATAACCAAAGAAAGCATCCATACAGTGTGATACTACTGACAAGGTCACACTGGTGCTTCTTCTGTCATTCAGCCAAGACATGCATTGGAAAGGAACAGGCTTTCTGGTATTTCCTGGCCCTTTCAGAAATACGGAAACACTTTGACAAGTGCTCTTTTTCCTGACTTTCTGAATTCCAATTAGAATAGCAAAATTAAGGTCTTCATAACTTTTAAAAAACATCTAAGCTTCCACTTCTTTCCCTTAACCGCTATTTAGAAATAAATGGAACATATATAGAAAGTAAAGGAGTCAAGTACAGAACAATAGAAGCAGACTTTCAGCCTTTTAATGTCTAAATTTTATAATAATGGGTATTAATATAGGATAAAACTGAGTAGTTATTTTCAAAATAATAATAATAATAATAAAGCCAGAACATCTTTCTCCCCAAAATAGGGCCTGACTATTTAGACAGATGGGAAAAAAACCCCAAAGCAAACTTATTTTAAGTATTTTCTTTACCTTACTTGATCAGTTTTGATCTTTGGTTTATGTGAGTGAGACATCAGCTCTTTCTAAAAAGAGAGAAAGACTTATTAATTATCACTAGTTCATTCTAAACTTACTGTTTATCCTGGTAGACAGCTTTATACAAACACTGCACCAAAAGACTACACTAGCAATACTAAAGAATTTGGGATTTTTTAATGTGCTAATGTGGTACCTGAGTAGTCCAGAGTATAAAACTCATATGAGTTATTGTGTCAGAAGGAAGGAGACTCATATTTTGTTTCAGGCCTAGCTTTAATGCATAGAATTTGGACAAAGCAGATATACTTGGGTCAGCATTTTAATACACTTTGAGAAGAGGAAGTACTTAATATGAACCAACTTAAAAGCTTAAATAAGGAGGAAGAAAAAAGGAGGCTTTTATGTCTAAAATGAATATGTAATCTCTGAAAGTATCCTTTGAAATCTTGTTTCCCAAGTTACTTTTCAAATCACTACACTTATCAGCTTTAAAATTTCAGTTCTACTCAGTATTATTAAGTAATGAAATTGTATTAATTAGGACATGTAGTTCTTCAGAAGGACAGCTGTTTAAACTTATATGGGGTAAAAACTTATCTATCTATGCCTTGTATCTTGTGAATTACAACTGAAGGGAAGAAGTGCCTTAATATAATACAGACCTCTTATTCTTGAATTTTCTTCTCCTGATAAACATCCGGCCAGGCCAAGCAAAACCATTATAAACAGTAAATCTAGAGTTCACTACTGATAATAATAAAAATCCCTAAATGGAGTTCTTCCTTTTATTGCTCAGATTTACTTTATGAGAACTTTTTAGGGAGTAGAGCATGTGAAATCTGCAGCCAGTTTAATAACTATGGCGGAAAAAGACTTAACTGCAAGGTTCAAGCAAACGACTTGAACTTCACTTACAGACTTAACTGCAAGGTTCAAGCAAATGATTTATTTGAACTTCACTTACAGACCTAACACGCCGCTATTGCAGGTTTTACAGATACAATGGAGGAATGCACTACTGCAATTTTTAAGGCAAGAGTAGTACAGTATTACAACCACAAGTGATTCAGAGACAACCACAAGCACACACGTGTTTACAAACTTAAAGCATAAACAATATTCACTTACCCCTCCAGGTAAGGGCTCTCAATCCCAGGGAAGTTACCTCGACTGGCATCCCAATCAAGGCGGGGAAGGGTTTCCTTCACAAGCCAACTGTATAGTTGGAGAAGTGACTCTCTGATTTCCAACCTGAATCTTAAGAGTTTTTATCCCCTGACTTCTGGAATGGTGTGTATGACTATGTCTGAGTGGATTATGATATATGCCTAAAGGGATTATGTATATCTGAGTGGAGTTTCCCCTTATGTTTCCTTTCCTGGTCTGTGATTGTTTGAATACACAAGGTTGTCATTTGAAACTGAAGCTGAAACCCTCCAGTTTTGGGTTTTTTTTTACCTTGCTTCCTCAGGCAACTGAATAGTGTTTGGATTGAGACTCAGGGCATACTATTTGTTAAGGAACTTCAAGGCTCAGTTCAGGTTTTGGTTCTTTGAATGGCACAGCCATTGCCCTGTTTAGTTTAGGGTTTGTGAGACAACCCAGGGCTAAGCTGTCTACATAGCTCCCTGTGAGTCATCTCTGCAGAGAGACAGGGCCTCAAGGCAATCCAAGGCTGGGTCACTTTTGTAACCACCCATGAGTCACCTGTGTGCACTAGACATGGTTAAACTCATTTGTGAACTATGAGCCGGACAATCCACACAATAACTTTGTTATAAACTGGGTTTTAGTGTTTCAGTGGAAAAAACCCGAGAGACAACAATGAAAAAAATCAAAGCAACTAACAATGGACAGGCTGTAAAGATGCCTTTGGCATATTAAACTGAGAAATTTAGAAACTGACACATAGTTGTATTAAAATTAGTTTAATTTAAATAACTGAGGTCCTCTCATTATGTATCGCTATATAGAATACAGGACCTTCAGTGAAGTGCTGACACAGTCCTTACTGCCATTCTGACAGCACTATAGTCACTGCTTCTGCTGTATTTCCCTTCTCAGTCCCAAGTTCTTCTATTTTTCAGGATTCCACACTTTCTCATATTTGCCTTGTTCCCTATCTGCCTCCACCAGTGAGGTCAGCTTCGGTTCCTGTGTGCTCCTCCCACAAGCATCTCCAAGTTTTCTGTGAAAATTTTGATGTACTAAGTATCCTTTTGAGATAGTTTGCAAGAAGACATGAAATCCATTCCCAATGACTATTCTATTCTATTCTCTTGGAGAAAGTAATCAAGGCCAGCATGTTGTAGCTGACTTAATTATAGATATACCCCCACAAAAATAAAACTTAGCATGAAGAAACAGTCAGTTATACCTTCAAACACTTTAATGTATTTATAATATCACTGTCTTACTCCTTGTGGTTTTCAGATTGGAAATGGTCCAATAGCCATATTTAGCTTGATTAAACTTAATTTAGCTTCTATGCCTATTGCTTCCTACTGTCTGGTCTGAGACTTTCAGAATCACACAGCCTACAGGATCTTCTTTGCTTAGGGAATTGGTTGAATAAAGCCAACTGTTCTGCATGCTTACTCAGTTCAAACTGAGGTGCTTTTGCTATGCAAGACTGATACTATGGTATAGTATGCAACACCCCATGAACCCTCATACACTGGACTATGGTCCTTTGAAAGCTGTTCGTACTGTCAGCATGCACGAGCCTTGAGATGCATCCATAATAAAAAGGAATCAGACTTACTGCAATCCTTTCTTCTCTCTGTTTCCTCTGGAGAGCTAGTACTTCTTCTCTTCTCCTGGCCTGAAAAGAAATATATTTACCACAATAAGCTCAGAAAAATAAGTTAAAACCATGTAATACTTAACTTGATTGTAAACTTTAAATTCCTCATTGAAGCTGAGAACTAGAGTGAACATACAGCAGAAACATGCCTAACAGGTTACTGGATAAAGTACTTCGACTTTGCTTTCTTCCTGAGATCCTGAAAACACACCACTTGGGAAAGCAACCTTCTCTTCCTATATTTACATGAGTTTTGAAATAATCACTTTCCTCAAATCAGAAGGAATCACTCCAAATGTCAAGATGAATATACATACTAAAGTTAGCAAATACTATCCTGTAGCATCTTGCGATTATAAAATTGGGGTAATTCAGGACTCACATATGCATAATAACTCATTACAAAAACCTTTTCATCTGAGACGTGCAAACAGAGATAACTTTTGCCTTCATTATGTATCCTTGGATTAAGCCAGTCTCTGCTACTCTGTAGAAGTGATTTAAAACTGTGATAATTTCAAAGGTGATAGAATTTAGTTCAGTTTTGAGCTATAGAACATTTAATGACTCTTTTCAATCAATGGTCCAGGTTCTTCACTCTAGAAGAGAAGTACACATTCTAGAACTTGTTAAAGCTTGTCTCTTTACACAATTGGAAGAAAAAATAATTTCCTAGGGAGAATAAATTCCTACTGAGAATTTTTTAATATTCTGATTCCCAGACATCTGAGCACATCTGTATATTTTTGCCTTATGGAAATGAATAGCTTTCCGCTACAGTGAGACATCACTGTTTAAGCTGAGTAAAAGCATAATAAATCGTTTTCATAATTTCCTAGCAATATGTTACGAAACAGACATTCCAGGAAGTATTTTGAGAAAACCCTCAACCAATGCCAGAATGGAGCACATCTCAGCATACAACTAATAAAAAAGAAAAGAAAAGGAGTTTCTTATTTGTTCTTTTCCATCTAGAAGTGGTCAAGAAAAGATGATGTATAATTGATGGGGAAAACCCCTGGTTTTTAATGCAGTGTATTCTTTTGCCTGATGACAATTTCTTCCATGCAATTTGATTTTAGAAATTAAGCAATCTTCGTTATTTAAAGTTGTTTCTTCAACAACCCTTTCCAAGTTTTAATCAGCTTTATGTCTAATAAAAAAATTACCATTTTTTTTCCTCAACAGATTAATGTAAATGACAGCATAAAAGACAAAGCCCAAGCTCTAGATGTTTGAGAGTCCTGATATTGAAAAGTAACACCCACCCAATATTCTAGAATTTGAATTCTTATCCTTTACTGTTGTTCCCCTTTTCACAAAAGGAAAATAAAATACCTGAGATGATAAAAAGAAAAGCAAAACAGAGCCACATCTTAGATCACAGTAGGAAGCTGTAGTTTTATTCACTAGTATTGGGAGTTAATGTAAACACAATACCCAAGTAAGGCAAGCAGTGCATGCCTAGGAGTGGGAACAAGGTTCAGCCAAGAGACCAGATCATCAGGTAAGTTCATGGTGATGATGCAATACAAGTTCAAGTCAGGAAGGCAGTCCACAAGTCAGGCTCAGTGATGGTACCTTAGAACTTACTAACTAAAGGTAGCCAAATAAGACCAAGATCAAAAGAAAAAGTGGCCAGATTGGAAAAATATCTAGCAATACAAAGATTTATTCAGACAAGCTAAGCATTCCTATTTTAAATGCATTAAACTGATTACTCAGATTTGCAGCGTTTATAATATTGAAATGTCTTTGTTAATCTTAAACTATCCTGTAGAGCCTGTGGGAATTAATGAATTGCAGAATAGTCCAGTGAAATAAACTTCCAAAAGACAACAGCTTTTTTGCCATGTGCCTCACTACTATTTCATATGAAATTAGCTAATGAATCAAAATAAGCATTTCTAATAAATGAATTCACTGTCAGTTTGTGAAATAACAGTGTTAATGCAGCTAAGCTTTCTTTCTAAAAAAACCTGTCCTTGTATCACTGTGGAGACAACATTCACTTCCCAGATCTACACAAAAGAGCTTCCAGGTTTTGCTCTCCCAGGGGACATGCTGCAGGAGCTGAATGTCTGAATCAAGTCTGAAATCTGGATTTGAACAGTAAATGACACCTATGACTAATAATAATGTGAACATTATTCTTATTTCATTCAGTGCATTAATTTTAATTTTCTTAGACTTATGTGAGAATTATAGCATGTCCTGTAGTTGTATAAAGTAATTTATTCATTGAAATTAATCAGTCATCTTTATGGCTGCCACATGCCCAAAGCTGCAAAACCTTGCTATTATCTATTGTTGCTGAGTTTTTAAAAAATGAAAAGAAGATTCAGGGAAGTGTTGCTAGCTTCAACCAGAATTCAGAAAGAAGGCTAACTGATGATAATGGATGAGATGCATTTTGGAATTATTAATTCGAAAAGGAGGTTTGCTGACTTGCAGGGAAGACTTGCAGATCTTTCTGCACCTCTTGCAGATTGCTCTCATCTGGCCTGCTTCCCAAATATAGGCTAGAGGCTTTTCAGTAAAAATGTGGAGTGTTTTACTAAAATGAGAAAAAAATCAGTATAATTACAGAGTCAGGCTGAAAATGTTATTACAATATTTAATACTACTTGTCTTAGTTTCCATTACTTGTGTGAATTGTATTCATGGTATATATGTGGAACACTCATTCACCAGTTAGATTAATAGGGGCTTCAGTAAAAGTTTGTATCAGTGTCTCAATAGCAAGCACAACTGTTGTCTTCATCTTCTTTTTCTTGGCAAAGTAGTAGGAGAAACCCCAAGCTCTATATACTTGGTCCAATCCCACTGTTTTGCAGGAGATGAACCTCGGGTGATCTGGATACCATGTCATTTATTTTGCTTCTTTTCATGGCCAGTTTAATGCTTGAGTCACTGCATAAACATGAGTATATATACCTCATAGCATGCTAAATTTTATTGATCCTATCCACCAGTTTCAGACTACAGGAACCGTTAACTAAAGTGCTGAGTGGGCAGTTGCATGCCAGATCAATGTTAGCTTTTGTAAAACTCCACTAAGTCAGAAGGCTCTGCATGGTCCAGAAGGATCCAACCTGAAAGGCGCTACAGCATCCCACTTACGCCTTCCTTTGGAAAGACAGCATCATCTATAAACTCAGTTTTGATGTTGGTTGCTAAAATCTACAGTTTGTTCTGCAGCTAAGTAGTTTCTACAAAATTTGAAATGGCTTGGTCTAGTGGTTCTTGAATTATACCTCTCTAAAAATATCACCTAAACCTGTCCCTGAGTGACAGGCTAAGGCAGAAGCATTTCTGTGAAAGCTGATTTAACAGCTGCCCACTACCAAATTTTCCACATCTCTCGCTCAGTGAACTCTTGGCACTCGCTGCTGCTGGGCACAGGCTAATGGAGAAGATCTATTAATAACTAAGACAACTAAGAAATAAACTCACACTTTGAGCTGTGCTTTAATGTCTCTCTGCCAGGATTTTGTGTGTGAAAGTGCATTCAGCACTGGTGGTCCCCCCCCAAATTATCCACTTTTGAATCTGGGCACTCTTAGTTGGCTACTTTTAGATACTAAATCAGAACAGACATTATGTGCTTACTATGAAGAAATTACGTACACAGCCTACTGCCTTCAGCCCTGCCCCAAGCCAGCATGACCCAGTTGGGAATAAGTTTAAGCTAACCATGAAGAAATGGGCTGCATCATGCAAACCACACAGTAGGCCAGGTCCAGGCGATTTTCATTACTGTTCATCATGCCATTTCCAAAGTTCCGGTGTTCCACCAAATGACACACGGTGAATGGAAATATTTATGAAAAAAGAGTCAGGATTAATGGTTCTTACCTGCTGAAGATATTTTTCTTTTACTTTAGTTTTCTCCATGCTTTGAGCTTTCAAGAGTGTCTCTTTCTCACTGTTTTTCTCACTTTCTAAATAAGACAAACGAGAGGCAAATAAGCAAGTGCTCCTACTACCACTGTCCTTCAGAGAGGGCAACCGAACCACAGTGTACTTTGGGGCCATTCAGAAAGTTAGTGATCCCAGGGTGTGGATCCCAAACAGTAGGTATCAGCTGAAATATCTCAGCTGTGCACACTAGGGGCTGTGGCTCTTCTGCCATCCAGAGCTTATTGGCATGAGTCATTATTCTTTCCTGAGAATTAATTCCTTCCAGAAACCTAGGCAACAGAGGCTTAGCAAGATGGGGGCATGAAGTACTTCATACTTACTTCTAGGAAGTTGTGGGCCCTGGAGAGCAGTACTTCTCTCTGGAAAGTAAAGTCACATTAAGGATGCCTGGGAAGGTGTGTGTGTGTGGGTGGTGCAGGGAGGGCACAAGGCCTCAGAGAGGTGGGGGGGGTCTGGAGAGGGTGCAGGGCTCAGGCAAAAGGTGTGGGGTCCCCGGGAGAGCACAGAGCCTTGGAAGGATGTGTGAGGGCTCAGGCAAAAGGTGTGGGGTCCCCGGGAGAGCACAGAGCCTTGGAAGGATGTGTGAGGCCCAAGGGAAGGTGTGGGGGCCCCAGGAGATGTTTGAGGCTCTGGAGAGGGGCCCCAGGAGGAGCATGAGGCCCTAGGTGAGGGGCAGGACCGTGCAGAGAGATGTGTGGCCCCAGAGACGGTATAGGGCTGCAGGCAGGGTCTCCTCAGAGGGCAAGGTCTCCTCACCAGGCAGGGTCTCCTCAGAGGGCAAGGTCTCCTCACCAGGCAGGGTCCCCTCACGTTCCAGGGTGGCAGGGCCTAGACAGGACTCGAGCGGTGGTGGCAGCACAGCTGAGGTCCAGAAGGTGCAGGCAAAGCCCACGTTGGCTGGGCTTGAGCCAGCAAAGACAAGGGGCCCATTGGGTGCCATCAGATGTTGTTCTGTCTCTGTCCCTGTGGCACCGCATGTGGCTGCGTCGCCGTGTCCCCTCTCCATGAAGTGGGCCTGCCCAGCTCAGCCTGTCTGCTCCTGCCCTGTGCCAAGAGGAAGCAAGAGGACAGCAGGACCCTGGTGCTGCTCGTGCCACTGACACATCCCTGTCACTGCCACCTGCTGTGGTAGGTGACCTCTCTGCTGGGGCCCTTCCCTTTTCCCTACCGTCACTGGCATCTGGGTGCCAGGAGGGAGGACTGTAGTGAAGGGGTGAAACCATCTCAGAGGGGACACAGCAGCACAGACATGCCTGGGGAGCCTGGACCCAGCTGCAAGGTAAGGGACACACTGCCCGTCACAGTAAACATGGAAGACCAGAAGGCTGGCCACTTTGTACATCTCATTTCAAGTGTCTTCAGGCCATTTTCACTCAAGTCTAGCCTTGGGCCTCTTTATGAACAGGAAATCGCTGCCACCACAGGCCTCAATTTTATTTATTCAACAAGACTAAATGGAGGTAAATGTGAAAACGGTGGCCTTAGACAAGTGTAAGGCTGAGACAAGCACAACCAGAATGGGAGCAGATGTCGGCAAATTTTGGGAAGAAAAAAACCCTTTCAATTTGTTATCATGTTTCTCAGTGTCCTGTATGCAAAACAGTTGTGAATGAAGTGTATCACACAGTTAGGTGCAGTTAAATTGGCTTGACAAATGCACTGACGTCTTTTGCATGTGTGACAGGCAATTCAGTACATTTAGCTTCTTTTATTCCACTGTCTTGCCTGTCTATTAGATGCTTCTGCAAAGAGGTTAGTCAATCTGCCTTCTGTTGTCAAAATTCCCATGCATCTGATTTCCATTGAGATATCTTCCAAACCTTTTTACCTGGCTGTGTGGCTAGTGATTGTTACTTTTGGCAATCAGCTAACTACACTGCCTAGTAACTAGGCTGATGTAAGAGATGGTTGCCTTTCAACTCCTACTTTGATGAAGACTGGGGTTTTGTTAAAAAAGAATCTTAGAGCAGGTTCTAGCACTATTAAGTATTTTCTCCATTGTTAAAATTCTTGAATGTTAAGTGGTCAGAGTAAAAAACATTTGTAGCATACCGTGAGTTTAATATCTACTCATTGCTCAAACCTCCCTTCACTTACTAGCTTGTTAAATAAGACAGGAAAAAGAAATGAAAATTATTTTCCCAATACCTGAGAGTTAAACTGAAGGGTACAACCAAAAAAATTCTTAGTCCAATCTTGGTGCATAAACAATTAACTATACAATAAGTCTTCATGTGGCTAAACAATTTAAACACAACAGACAGCAGTATTGCTCTGGGAAAGTTCCTAAGGATTTTAGCATTAACTTCAAGAAATCTAAGACTTTGCTTGATATTGCCAACATATACCATATGCTTCTGCTGGACAGCTAAAACTCTGGAAATAAAGATGTAAATGAATAAACACTATTAATAATTTTGGACTAGGAATAAGGATGTCGTAAGGAAGTTTTGTGGTGCGTTTTTCTATAATGAGGTTGTAGCAGGGCATCCTGTGCCTTGTTTTGATGGCAGTGAAGTTAGTGATTGCGAAGCAATGAATACAATCAGCTACCTACACTGCCTACAAACCAAGCACTACTCTTGTGATAGGGTCATGGCATTCAAACCTAGAAAAAAAGAAAGCACTTCCCATAATCATATTAACATACTCTTACATTGCTTACTAACCAAGCACTACTCTTGTGATGGGGTCATGGCATTCAAACCTAGAAAAAAAGAAAGCACTTCCCATAATTATATTAACATACTCTCTCCAGCAAGCAATTGACAATAATGGAAAACATTGGTCACATCAACCTTAATATTATTTTACTAAATCCAAAGTCTTTATATCACAAATTAATTGTTCTTAATAATTAAAAACTGCAGTGGATGCATCACAAAGATAATTTCAGGAGTGCAAAGACAAAGCAATGAAATACTAAAATTGAAATTAATATAATGCACCACGGAAACGGGAAATGACAAAAGCCTTGGCATGCAGTCCTTGCTGCATGAATGTGGACTAAGTGGTAGCTGTATGCAGAGGTGGAACTGCAAATACAGCTGCAAATTTGGGCCAAGACAAAATGTTCAACATGAATAACATCCTACCTGGTTTACAGGATGTCAGCTGTAGTGCTTATGTCACAGTGATCCGACTTATCTTTGTTCTCTAGTTGGGGCATTCGAGTTAATGTCCTACAGCATAGGTTTCGAGCAATTTCCATTTAAAGGTTTTCAAAAGAAACTGCATGTTACTACAGCAGCGGTAAGAATGGTAGAATTTCACTAGTTCCCTGAACTTCAGAAACCTTTTTTTTCCAGAATAATATAGGAACACAGATTGTGCTGATAGTCAGATGTCAGGCTGCTCAAACCTTTCACACTAATTTGTGGTGGCTAAAGAAATTAGCAAATCTGTTCTGCAGAAAAAAACTGAATATGTGTAAATAGTTATAATCAATTATGCTTTGTGTCTAATACATGTGTATGCAAATAATAACGTGATAAAACTATTTTATATGGATTTATCAGGCTATTCCTAAATCAGGAATGAGATAGAGTCTGTGAGGTTACAAGCATAAATTTGTCTGCAAATTAAACAATTTTGCTAGCTTTTAACCATAAATGCCTTATTGTTAAAATGCATAAAAAGAATTCAGGACTTGCCCTCAAGAAGCTTACCTTGTAATAATCCTGATAAGGACTGCATTTATATTAAAACGCTTAAAAAGATTCAATGGAAAGGAAAAAATGGCTAGCTTCTTCACTCTTCATTTCCTTCCCTTTTCCATGGCTAGCACAGCAACGTATTCACTGGGCACCGAGCAGTCTTTCACTGGCAGACATGCCTCTGGGGATGGTTCCTTAGGTGGCCCTTGGGTGCCCCATCTCTTCCACTGGGACTCCTGGGTTGGAGTGTCCCCAGTCTGGGCTGTGGGTCAGCCCCATGCCTGTAACCTTTGTGTACACTCTGTCGTCATGGTCACTCAGCTGGGGCTTGTGCATGGAGACTGGACCGTTGCTTTGAAACATGCACATGGGTCTCGCTATAGGAAGCTTTGTTGCAAAAGAGGTTTCTATGGGCAAAGTCAATATGGAGCACACATGGGAGCTTCCACCCTGCTCCTATGGACAAATGGCTACAGGTTGTGTCACAGACATGGAAGGTGATGCAGGCTTTAGTGTCACATGTGACAGTCTGGGCACACGCCTCTAGGCTGATATCTGGATACTGGGGCTTCAGCCTGGTTTTATTCATACCAGGAGTCTAGCTGCCATAGCAGGAGGCCCCAAAAAAGACAGACTTAACAGCTCAAAAGAATGAATGGCTTGTGCTCCTGGCACTGGGCTGCACTGGGACGCACATGCTGCACATCTTCACCTAACGGTCACCCACACCACCTCTCTCCCTATTTCCTGGGGGCCTAGCCAGCCATTTCTGTATGCTTGCTCTTGACCTGTCCAGCTTGTTGCAGTCCTCTCACTCCCTTGCATTTCAGGTCTTGTTTCTCTAAGTAACCCTTTGCTCTTTTCTTCCTCACAATCGGTACCAACACAACCCCATCCTGCTGCCGCTTGTGTTTGGAGAGCATAAGTCAGATAGATAAGCCCGTATGGATTGGTACAATGCTGACTGTCCCCACTGTGTGCTGCCCTTCGCTCCATGCTAGCCACAGTGGCAACCGAAGCAGAGCAGGAGAAAAGATATTTTGTGCTCTGCATTGCCCCTTCTTGTGTTGGAGGAGGAACTGCAAGAGAAAAACAACACGCTCCTCTCTGGTATGTTAGCAACAGTAAGAAGATGTGATTCTTAGCTGGTGATGTGATCCACAAAGACTGTAAGAATAAGACTTTCAAGAATGTCTAGTGATTTGGGGTATCTAATTGACCTGAGATGCTTTTGAAGGGCTTGTCCTTCAGAAATGTCTGGGCATTCTACCTCTTTGATAACTGCATACCTCTATAAGGCCCATGTAAATTGTGTCCAGCTGGATGGCTCAAATCTCTTGTAATTTCTGACATGCAAATAGGGAGGAAGAAAGAACTGTAAAAGTAATCAACACTCGATTACATTGTCAGAAAAATTTACAAGGCTACAGCAATAGCTCTTAGACTACATATAATAAGCCCAGGTAGCTTTACAGTCTTTCCTTTGCTATTTAATTTTAGAACATGCTAGACCAGCACCAGTCTTTTTTTTTTTTATAAGATTATTTTATTGCTTAAGTCGCTGAAGACTGATGATCTAAATTAAATTCTAGCAAAATGTGGTGCTCAAACACTTAAAATCCTCTTCAAGCAAATTTAAGCTTCGTATATTGTAATATGAATAGAATTAGAAGTATTAGAAGGTGCTAAACATTGCTACATAGCCCCATGAACTGCAGAGTTTTTCTCTTCTGCAAAGGAAGGTGACAGTTCACAGAATGAGGGTAAAAGCAGGTCCTGAAATCAACAGTTAAAGATGGAGTTGTGACCCAGAACATCTTCTATACTTGTGGAATATGCCTCCTTAGCAGTTACATCTTATCTCCTGCATCTGCCCTGTATGACACTGTTTTCTCATACCATCGTGGTTTGCCTGCTTACCTGCACAATATGGGTGTTCTCACAGACCTTGTTTTAAAGACCTTTTACACCAGCGAGTGCTTTCCTTGGGCAGGAGGCTCCTCCTGATCCGTGTAATTAGCATGGTCATACTGTCTTATGTGCTTTGCATAATAAAATACAGTACTCATGGTAAAATCTTTAACCAGAAAAATTATCTGTAAGTACCTATCACTTAGGTTTTTACAGAACACCCACTGCATAACAAAGTAATCAAGTAAAGATGAAAACCTTATTCGGAATATGGTTCATTTCTGAAATACCTATTCTGGGCCCTTTCATCAGGCCCAGAATGTGTCTACTTATATAAGCTGAAAGGGAAGAATCTGTGAGCAATCAACATACTAAAATTTTAGTTTGTGGCTTTACTTGGAATCAGTTTCTGTCTTGTTTCAGTCAAAAATAATTCTTT